AATGACATGTCATCCACAGCACTGCTCACTAACAAGACAGGCATAATTGCAGGTAGTTTAATAAAATTTTAGAAATGCCTTTCAGAGGCATTTATCAAGAGGACTTTTTTCTTTCCCACAGTTATGCAAAGGTAAGAAAACAATAGGGTTTGTTAGAATGCTGATCAGCTTCTTGGTTTTTTGTGCAGCCTCTGGTATTCATAGGTCTTCTCTTGCAATAGGGCAGTATCTCATCATCTTCTCTGAGTTTGAATGGAATTATATATAACAATGCACAGAAGTATTTGGCACAGTAAGTTATTTGTTCATTGCGGAGAAAAAATTCCCCCCCCCCCCCCCCCAAGTGCAGGACACAGTGGAAGATCCTGGGAATTCTAGATTTACCTTGAAACTGACCATCTTAATACATTTTGTCCTCTTCTGTCCATGTGACTCTTACTTAGTCAGTAGTCTGGAGACAGAAGTACATCAGAGGCTCAATTCAGTCTTCAAATAGTGTATTTTTTTTTTCATTAATATCTAAAAGATTTCTCACCAAGGCAAAATTTCTCATATTTAATCTCAGTCTAAGACCAGTTTCTAAGTTATTCTAGTTTCCTTCTTTAACCACATTTGCTTTTTTGTTGAAATATTCAGAGAGAAAAAGAGGGGCACCATAGCCATTTTAGAGTAGTAACAGTAATAGCTGGTATTAGCTATTAGCTAATAGCCCCTTTTTAAAATCTGAGGTGTTTTTACCATGCCCTCATAATTTAAAGGGACAAGAACCTATGACATTTGGGATAAAATCTGGTTCATAAGCAAGTTCCTTGCTACTGAAAAAGCCTCAGCCAGACATCTGCCCTATGTTACTACTGCCATTCTCAATCCCTTAACTTTGTTTCTGAAACAAATTTTTTTGGTCTTTCAGAAAAGGTTAGGTTTTGTTGAAATGACTGATCTCTGAAGGGAAAAAAAAAAAACAAAAACTTTCTGGAGGTGTATCATTTGTTACTTAAAGAGGAGAGGAACGGTTCTCAGTGCTGAGAGCTTTCTGCCTGAATGATGGTTGTTAGATTGCTCTTTCTAGAAGAGAGGCCAAGAACTCCACAGTTCACATGCGCTGGAGGCAAATCCTGCTTGCTTATCTACACAGGCTCTAGTAACTGCTGGCCAAGGGCAGGGTCAGGCTCGGTGACATACTTACGCGACTCATCAGGCCCCCTGCCTGCAGCAAAGCCCATCTCCCTGGCTCATTTCTCAGTTTCAGCACACAGAAGAATTTTAGAAACAATGCCAGTAAATCCAGAATTATTTGAACCTTCTGAACCAACCCCCCAGCACATACTGGAGTAAGAAAAGAAAGAAATAGCTGCTTCATACTATGAAGCATAGAAATAGTTCTGGGTGGGACAGACCTACCTTCTGACAGGCCTGAAGGAAAACATTCTTCACAGCTCCTCTGCCTTGAGATCCTCAGCACAGAGTCTGCTTGATCAGGCCATGCAGTAAAGAAAGAAGAGGGAAAATAATATCTGGATCTAAAAACATCTCATTTAAAGGAAACTTAACAGTAATTCCATTTTCAGTCCCTACTGAAGAAGCACTAGCACAGCTTGCCATTCACAGAGGAAAGGAATCTATAAAATAACAGACTTTTCCACCTAATCTACCAATATCAGTAAAGGCTTTTCCATAGAGCATGTGTGCTTTTACATGGAAGTGCCATGGCTATGCTCCAAGCTCCCAGTTCCATAGGAGCTATATAGAGAGGTTCCCACGGCCCGCAATACCTTGGGGACTTGAAAGGAAGCTACAGGAATGCTTCGTTATTTAAAAATGTGTTCACTTCTCTTCAAGGGAAAGCAAGGCATATAGGAGAAGGGTTCCCATACAAAATAAAATAAGTGAGGCTGGGCTGGAGGCCCTTTTGAAGTCTCATCTTACAAAGTTTCCTTAAAGTTTTATCAATCCCTGCTGAATCTTGCCCCTCTAAATCTTTATACAAGGCACAGAGCTTTGACTTCACTCTCATTTAATTGTGCTTAAGTTCTGAGATATGTTATATGGAATAGTGCTTGGGGAGCAGCAAAGGGAGACTGGCAGGAAAAAGCTGCAGAAAAGAAAAAAATAACTCTTAGATCCTTTGAGACACCAGGGGACCAAATGAGTATCCTACTGATCCTGCAAAGTTCAAGGGACTTCTATTAACAAGGATCAAAATCTGGATCCTAATACTCATGTATTACCCCTCCAATAAAGCGCTCAAGGCATCAATTTCTGCCTACATCACATAGAACTAACAAGCTTATAATGAAAGCCATAATTATTAGTGTTCTGACAAAACAATACACAGGAATTTAGCCATGTCTCTCTACTCAATTTCAAGGGAAGTCCTACAGCTAAAAATCTCAGCCTTCCTCCTGGGGAAAACAGAACAATGAATCTTGCTGCAGTGACATATTCCAGGCAATTACAAGAGCTTCAACCCTCAAAGCCACATTCTGAGCATGACTGGAACATAAATACATTAGCAACTGCTCAGCATTGCTCTCCTCCTGATTTGGAAAGAATGTTCCCACTTTGCTTTTGTTGCCTTTAATGATGCACATCTATTCTTTTTAATAAGAAAAGCCATTTAACATTTTTATAAATATCATAAATGCTTCATGTTACCCTTAATTACCCTTCGTGCCTCTGTTCTCTACAATGCTGCCAACGAAAAGGAGTCATTTTTTCCTGCACAGTCTTGCCCTAACCAGAGTAAAACTCATGCCACTTCATTTATATCACCCTCTAGACAGAGAGGGGCATGGTGGGACCTGTTCTGCCTTGAAGCCCTGGTAAAAATCACCCCTTTCTGATTAGCAGTCTTCAAAGCAAAATGGATGTGCCAAGGGCTGATTCTAGATTCGTAAATTCTGTGTACGCTAAATGATAACCTATAGCTCTCTCAAGGTGCTTTACAAAGCAAGTAGCATCACTAAGTTTGTTTCATTGACTGAGAAAGCGTCAGAGCAGCACAGAGCGGCAAAGTTATTTGTACAAGGACACCAACTTGTTATCAGAGTGAGGAATAAAACCCAGATCCTTCTATCTCACTCTTTCAGGCAACCCTGTCTCTCTATCTAAATAATCCTCTCCCCCCCCACCCCAAACCAAGCACCCCTCCCAAAAAATAACCCACAATTCCACCTGATCTTTAAGAGCAGGTACAGAGGTTCTGCACACCTCGGACTCTGGGTCCACAATATTTAATACAAGATCTATGAGTCACCACACGCCATACAGCAGTATAAAAGTGATTTCAGGGAGATGTGGAACATACGACTGCATTTCTGTTAAATCAGCCAAAGCACATGATATGGCATTTAGGCCAAGACAAATGATACCCAAACTGTCATAACGCTTACAAAAATGTTTGAACGGGTTTGAATAAGTTTGAGGCGACATTTTGATCTGACTCCATGAACTCTAGAGTAGGATTTACTATCCAACTGAACTACAGGCTCAGGAAGCAATGTATAACTGCTTGGATTCCTCACCTCCTCTTCAATGCAAGCTCTTATTTGCTTCAATAAGAGAGAAGAAACGTTGCTTCATAAAGCGCAATCTCTCTTGGCCCAATGACAGCATGGTGCCTAGTTCAGCGAGGCCATCATTCCAGTGTCAGACTTGAAGGCTGAACTACGTGAACTTCTGCAAATTGCAGTGTAACACAGCGTTAACTTTCCTTACAGCTTTAAGCTATATTCTTTTACAAGCACATACTTGATTTGGTAGTACTGAAGTAAGGTACAGACTAACAGTGACCAAGAAGATTAGAAATCCTCGTCTTTATGATAAATCAATAAACATGCTATTTTTCACCTACAACCGCATAATAAAAATTAATCCCCTTGCATCCTCTGCAACTCTACCGGCAATATGAAAATGAAAACTTAGTTTGCTGGTGTCTAGTGAACCATCTGGCCTAGATATTAATAATAATATTGATTATGACCTACATTTGTGAGTGGGTGGAAGAGAGGAGGTATTTAGAACTCTAACAGACAAAACAGCATAAACCACTGCTTAGGCTATTCTTTAATTGTCTAAGTAAAACAACTCACGTCCAAATAAATAAAGTCCACTTAACAGTTCTAATAAAGCTAGATAAAAGAAACTTGGCACAGCCAAGGCACTCTGCTCTCTGGAAAATGAAAATTGCTTGTCAGTTTTGCTCCCCCTCCTTGCTCCTGTATATGGCCATATTAAAACAAATACGATGATCCATAAAGAATTGCCTCAATTTATAACAGTTATTTCTGAAATTCTTGTTAATTCAGAAGTTTGCTTAATAATCCACTAATTGAATTATTCTCTGATTTACTCTTTAAGCTCTAATTCTGTGTATAAAAATGATTAAAACACTTCAAGCATATTCCAGTATAGCTACCACATAAAGAAATGGTTAAAAACAGAACCAATTGCACACATTAATATTTATTCATCAGAGGAACTACCATCTAGGAACTAGAGTGCTGGACTGACTATAATGAGTCTTCATTCTAATCCCAGAGCAGATACCAATTTGCTACATGGCTTAGCAGTGGTCATGGGGGTGAATCACTCCTCAGAGTCCTCATTCTCCTTTCTACTTTTTGTCTGCTTTACATATTTATTTTGCTGTATTTTTGTAGCAGGGGCTCTCTCTTTACAGGTACAAAACCCTAAACTGGCTCTGCAGTGTTGCATGAGCAGTCCAAGTGCTAATTGCAACTAAAAGTAATATCATCATCAGCCAACCTATCTCAAGACAGTTCTAAATCTTTGGTAGTTCTGGAACACTCTGAGAAATTTTACAGATAAGCCAAGAAGAGGCAGCCTATAGCAGGAAAAATAAAAGCATGCAAATTATTTCAGACAAACCTATCTTTGCGTAAACTCACTCCCCTGATTTCTATGCAATCCCCAGGCCAATGAACTATGAACCTGTTTTTTGTTGACCTTTTTCCAGACATCTGACTTTACAGCTTGGCTAGCCTCTCCAAAATGGATATTTCTTCATAAACCACAGCACACTACAGCCAAAACAAAGCTCATGCTTCCACTACCATTAAGCCCTATCACCTCCCTTTCAAGCAGCTTTAGGTTAGTATTCATTCTTGTCGCTCCTGCATTCCCCAGATATAAGCCATGCCAAATCTTGCTGCTTTCGCTCTACCACCACCACATCTCTAGAACCTGACAGTGAAAATTCTTGTTCACACCCTTATCTCTAATTTTCTTAGATCCCCCATGTTAACATTACCTTCTTCACACAGAACAGTATCACCAAAATTAACTCACGTTCCTGCCATTATCAGTCACACATACCTTTAGTTCTCCAGAGAGGTTCCTGACTCAGTTAGCATTTGCAAAGGCTAAATGAAAAAGCAAATATATTCTACTTAGAATGACTTTGCATGACACGTTATCCAACTGCCTCAGCTTTTATCTACGCATTACCACCAAGAGAGCTTGTTTTTCATTTGTTCCACACCCACCAGTTTCTGAATGCATATAACCACTTATTCAAATATGGGACACGAAGGAAGTACATGATCTTTGTGGCCCATTCCCAGTTCATTCCAATATCCCCCAGTAAACCCCCAGTAAAATTCCCTTTCCTTCCAGCAGATGAGAGGAAGGCAGGCACAGCTCAGCAAAGGGTGGAGGTTAAAGCAGAGCATTGGCTCCCTAGCACTCAAGGAGCGTCTTATCACTCTGTCCAGATACCAAGACAATAAAAACCTCTACTCCTCATGTAACCCAAGCTGGAAGACGAAGGAATGTCTTCCTATTCAAATATTTGGCTCTCCTTCCCCATGTTAGATAAAACACTCCCCAGAGGCCAAACTTCTCAGCCCTTTGATCTCAGAAGCAGCTGGAGCGCAGCTGCTCTCCATTACATTTACAGCTCTCAAGAAGCCTTTGGATTTTCCTGCCCTTCCTCAGTCAGACACAAAGGGTGAGAACACCACCAGCAGCCGTCTTCCATTCTCACGCAAAACTTGATTACACCTCATGTACCTGTCCAGTTCTTCCTTGAACTACTGCTCACCTGGCCCATTCCCAGCTCTTTCCTTCAATCCATTCCCCCAAGCCTGTCAGCAATGACTCTGTATTCCTTTCTCCAGGGAGAGACTAACCCATCTTTGAGAATTTCCAGGGCAAGGAAGACACGTATCCTCCCCAAAGTATTCAATCTGCCCCTACAGACAGTAGGAAACAGGCTGCTAGCCCCCAGTCATCTTTACTCAGGTCACAGCGATGTGCAGGTGGCCAGTTCCACTTACACTGAGTTTCTCTACTGTGCAACAAGGCCCAGTAAGCACAGAAAACCCTGTCTCCTGAGACAGGCAGACCTAGGACCCTGCTAGGAAAGCAAGGATCTAGTTAATGTAGTATCATCTCACAGAGCCTAAGAGCAGGCCAACAGCAGTCACTGTTAAGTGGACATGATTTTCAATGATACTTCCTACAAGCTTAAAAAAAAAAAACAGGAAAAAAGCTAATAAACTCAGCATTTCAAATTTAAGTTACAGGATTCAGACCTAGTACAGTATTTTCATCCCTTCCGTAGTTAGAAAAGCCATTCAAAATGACCACCTGAAGAGGACTAGGAATTGCAGGAAGCAGTATGCCCAAATGACTCTGCCTACTACACTGAGCTTTGAGAAACATTTGTACAGTCCTTCACTTACATACATAGGAGGCAGAGGGAACTGCTGGCCAATCTGACAAGATATCCATAAAAGACTCATCTCAATACGCACATGCTGAGGAAAACTATTAGTCTGTTTCTGAGCTTCTTTCCTTCCAGAGACTTCTCAATGAGGCTATTACAGTTTATCCACTAACACTTCTGCAACAGCTACCTCATCAACTATCCTAAAGTGCTATGTAACTGGATCCCTCTTAGAAAACTCATTTCACCTGGTCATACTGCATTGTTTGAGAGCTAAGGCCAAAAGCAGCTGTGCTCCTGCTGGGAGTACTATGAAGCACATGCCTAAGACTTTAGGCCTTTCTCTCAGTTAATATGGGAAATTAACCCACTGATCTATGATTTTTAGTTTCAGAAGGTAATCTTTTTTTAAAATAATATGCAATACACTTTTCAGTTGTGTGAGATTGTGGTGGTAAAGCAGGTTAAGTATCAGCTTTTCAGAACAAGTGAGCATTCCCATTTTTGCTTGAGGGAAAAAAAAAAATCAGTTTATCAGAATATGACAGAAAGATGACAACATTCGCTTACAAATACTTCCCATTATCCAACTTTTCATAAAGATTTAGATTTTTAACTTTATATTATTACTTTTGCTGCAGGTTTAACTTCCCAGAAAGTCAAGCTTTTAAGATCAAGAGGAAAAAGGAAAACACTTCTGCTTACTAAAACCTCTTTTGTGAAGGCAGAAATGTGGCATAATCTCTCACGAGAGACTTTCAAAAGCAGACTTTAGCCAGCAACTGAAGCAATTTGCACCGATGCATAGTCATGAAACATACAGTAATGTCTGAGCCAGCCATGTTAAATATTTACTAGTCAAGCGTTAAGTCAAACATTTTCCCAAATTCTTTTCCTCTGTTCAATTCGTGATCTCCTGTGTGAGTGCATATCTGTATGTGTGACAAGATGGCACTTCTATTCCTAGTAACCCATTAGAAACACATCATGGTGGGATAATTTTGAAAAACAATGCAGTTATTTAGAAAACTGTTTGCTGGTTTGTTAGAGTTGCATGTTTGTGAAACATATAATAGAACTCGAGCAAAAGGGATTAGGTTTACTGGAGGTGCATGACAAACACAAAATACCATCCAGTAAATCATCCAGGATGATTCTTCTCACTAAATAGAAGCAATAAATAAATAAATTACTTAACTCCTTCCAGTGAGCTCTCTCCTTTCTGTGCTGCTTATTCTGATGGCAGATCTTACTGTTTCCACTACAGCTACGCCCTAACTTCTGCTACCAATCTCTCCAGCTAGCAAGTGAACAGCTTCTATTGTAGTACTGCATTGATACTTTAATGATACATGCCCTCTCCATAAAAAAAAAAAATAGTTCCATGGACCTCAGCAAAAGTTAAACTGATTTCTTGAGCACCGCCTATGCTCTTAGGACAACTGCTTATCTTTAAAGAGAGCTGTTTCACTTCAACTGGACTCCTTGAGGGTAGGTCCATCATGTTCTTCCCAAAGTGTAAGCACCTTCCAATAACTGATGAAGTTTTAGCTCCTCAAGTTGCCCTGCAAGCAAGAATCGCAAGCTGCTTTTAAAAGTAGAGATGTAGGGTGTATGTGTCTGTGTAGGAAGGCTGTTGATTAAAAAGTGAGGAAGATTCTTTTATATCACTGCTAAAAATCAATTTCTTCTTTATGGTAATAGTGATCTACAAAAACAAAGCAGGTCTGTTGCCTTTGCTTTTGCCATGTTCAATGGGTGCTCCTCCCACTCTTACACACCCTCCCTTCTCACTTCCCCTCTCCTCCTTTCCCCTCCCAAATTATGGAGGACGCTTTTTTTTTTTTTTTTTTAAACCAGCAGGTAGGCTGAAATGTCTTAAACGTGACTTAAAAGTTTTTACAGATCTTTAATGTAAAGTATGAAAACAGTAAGTCCTAAAGTGAGCTTCTCTCCCAAGTATTTTAGCTAAAAATCTGGAAACATAACTTCCAACTTCTAAAATGACACCCAGACAAAAAGAAATACTACCTCTAGTCAATTCCTGAGAACAACTTAAACTTTCCAAAAATCTTCTTAAAAGCTAATATTGTGATCTTTCAGAAGGCATTGTATGGCTATTAAGAAATAAAAATCTATTCATTTCATTGTAGGTCACCTTTAAAGAGCTATAAGTAACAGAAAAAATATACACATCCTTGTAGTACTTATTATTCCATACATTTTATAAAAAAGTATCTTACTAGGCTTCTACACAATAACATGGAATTATTAGAATGCTTTTTCTGTAGACAGAGCTTCATGGAGGACAAGCGTCATTTGTTCCTACAGCCATCTGAAGCCAATAGTCCAGGTTTCTAAAAACAACAAAGTTGTACAAGTTTTCTCCTCCCTTGTGAAAACCATGTTCGCTTTCTCTCCAGGAAACAGGGCTGTCTGCAAAGCCATGCACAGTTAAGGTCAGCCAGTGTGCCAGTTTTGGTTCATCAAAATAGCAGCTGCAAAAAAGAAAACAAGCTAATCAATAATTGTAACAGAACAGACAGTATTTGCAAATGTACAGCAAAGAATAAAATCAAAGGCACAGGCATTTAGTGAAAATTTTTAATTACAGGAGTTAAAAAAAATGATTTAGGCTGTGGCAGATGCCTACTAAAGTCATTACATAGATGCTTCACTGGATGCATTATTTTAAAAGATACAACTGAAAAGCCCAAAGGGGCATCGTTTTTCAGCTCATGTTCCAGGATTAATAGAGGGTAAAAATGAAGTGTAAAGTTAAAGTACTAATTGGACTACCTATTTTAAAGAATTTAACATTTTAAAAGTGCTTTAGTACATAATAAATAAATTCAAAAGAAAATACTCTACCAGAAGATACTAGGAAATGAAATGGGATTGACTCTTTAGTATTCCTACCATACTTTTTGACAGGTAAAACTGCAAGTTGTAACTTAATTACAAATAATTATAAATTGTAAACTACCAGTTCTGAATTTCCTAAGACATTCTGTCATTTTTCAGAAAATAAACATTTTCTGAGAATGGTCACTATCAGGCAAAAAAGACACAGAAGGAAGAAACACAGTCAGACTATGCTAGATACAAACACTTTTACCATCAGAAAGGAAAAGGATTAACAAATAATCCAAACCAGGCAAGACTAAAAGTCAAGGATCTCTGTGTTCTAACCCTAGCCAAAAGAGGCTTTCACTATGAGATTCGAAAATTGCTCAGAGGAGCACCAGCGATATTCCAGATAAAGCAACAGCAATACTGTCGTTTGTCAGTGCTGGGACTGTTAGTCACCAGTCACTGCAAAAGCTGTCTTACACATAGAGCCAGGAGCTTCCAGAATTTGCTATTAGTGGCAGAAACACTAACGTATGACACAGGCAGATATCACAACGATCTACAATAAACCAGTACCACGCACTTCGGTATTCAGTTGGAACCACAGATACCCTGTTCATCACTATTCAATGCCCTGTTATACCCCTTGACACAAAAGATACCATTATAACTTAATTTAGCATAACACCACAATAACCATGTGACACACTTTTTGGTACCATAAAGGATTCCAATCATATTGTTCATCAACAGTTAAAAGTGCTAAATCAAGAGCGTTTCAGGGTGCCTGACTTTCATAGCCAATGGAAATCTGAGAGACGTGGGAGCTCAGTGAAGCCACTGGTTCTCAGAAATTAAGATTAAAAGCAAAGTCAGTATTAGAATACAGGGTATACATTCTCAAATTTGAAGTATCCAAAATTATTTATTGCTTTTTATACCATTGTTAAGCTTCCTGCTCATTTCCTAATTAAAAAGTGTCTTCACTTTGTGTATTTTTGTGTTACTCTCCAGCAGCACCATTGAAAAAAGCGACTCTAAAAATTAAAAACTTTATAGAAAGTACAAATGTTTTAATCATGTACTGCTGCCAACCCTTACCACAGTTTCTCCAACAACTGAATTATCTTCTCAGGAATTATGAACCCTGTGATTGTGCACAAAAAAGCTTGTTCCACTATTGTATTTGGCTGAGGACAGCAGTAGGTTGATAAAAAACTAGAAGATTTGTTGTCTCTGGAGGAAAAAAAAAAAAAAAGAAAAAAGAAAAGAAAGCTGAAATAAAAATACTTTAGGTCTTCTACAGAAAGTCTTCCTAACTCTAACTAGTACCAAGCAAATAGTATCTGTATATCATCTAAATCAATACCTAAGCAATTCAGATGTCATGGGTATCTCCAAAATACAGATAAGTTATTCAAGACTATTAAACAAGCATGCAAGTGCTTATCAGGCATCCCACTTACAGAAATATGTATTTTCTTACTTAAAAAAAATCGTGGCTTTCCTTACTTAAAATATATTTTAAGAGCAAACAAGTTCAGATACTTACAAGCTAACTTGACTGAAGACAGCCCCTAACCATTCAAACAGTTCCTCTGTACTGCATGACTCTTCTGGCTTTCCTTGTAATTCGTTACTTTGTAACACTGGACACTGCAAGTCTCTTAATGTGCTGAATGTTATTTTTGGCTTCAGAGCCTGTATTTGGTTTTTGGGAAAGTATGACATCAATGTTGATCCCTCTGCACCTTAACAACACAACATCACAAAGCTGTTACAAAACTACAGCACAAAGGGATTACTGAATATGTGAAACCTTTATATGTGTATTTGCTAGGAAAATACAGAGTGCAATGTTAAACTGCAAGTAAAACTGCTTACATGTTGTTATCTATCTTTTATAAAAGCCATAGAAATGTCATTTTCCTTATTTGCTTGAAAGTGAGATTTAGATCAAGATCCAGCAACTTACTATAACTCAGTAAAAGTACTGTTTAACTGGCATGTAAAGAAACAGATCTGTCAATAGAAAATTCAAGCATTTTAACTGGGCAAGTAAAAAAAAAAAGGGGGGGGAAAGGAAAAAAAAAAACAAAGTGGGACAACCTCAAACACAGTATGGATTATAGTAGTTAGACGTACCATGACAGATCTGTGGGAAAGGTCAAGCCTCTTCTACCTCTATTAAGTAACCCAAAATGGCAGATAAAAATCAGATCAAGGATGAGATGCAATAACCTTGCTACATGCATAGCTACGACCAAATCTGGTCCGCTTGCCTGTATAATGCTCAAACTATAAAGACCTAATCTACACTTGGAAGTAAACACCTTGTAAATTAAGAGATATTAACCAAATGCCTTTTTGAAGCAGTAAGGTGACTGATGTAAAATTAATTCTTCTGAACTTGAAATTCCAGATAAAGTACCACATTTTCTTAAAATAGCAACAGCTCACTACCAAGAAATAGCTCCTTACTCATGAGAAGCCGGAAGTCCAGAAAAGCATTCAAATTACCATTGCAAGGACAAGTACAAACAAATGAAATTCAAGAACAGGACAGAATGACTGTAGGATACAATATCCAGTGCCAACTACCAAAAGTTATGAACTGCCTAAATTCCATCAGCCATACCTATCCTCCAATGGACAATCATTTGGGGGAACAGGAAAAGAAGGGCTAAGCTGAGCCTTTTTAGTGTTCCTTCAGAAAAGGCTGTTGAAGCGCAGAAGGGTGCAGGGACAAAAAGAGGCAGCTACTGAACTCTTGCTAATTTATTTTTTTGGTTTTGTTTTAAGTCTGCAAAATGCTGGAATAAATGATCCTCTCTCGGACTGTGCTTCCTACAGGCCTTCGTTAGACTAATAGGCTCACAGAATGTCTAATATTTCCTCAGAATTCTTAGTCACATGTAAAAATTTATACATAAACTACAAATGTCCATTCTAAATGGGAGCCTCAGCTATAGTCGTAACTTCAGGAAATCCCAAAGACTACAGCCAAGATTTCAACCCAACGATTCCTCTAGCTATGGCATAGCTTCCCCTGTCAACAACAAACCAGGCACACTGTCAAAGTTTTCTTGGAGGCCAGTGACTTTCAGTCAAAAAACATTTAAAATTGCCATAGAAATTACAGCAAAAAAGAAAAAAAAAAGATTGTTTTCCATGTGTCATTATAGACATGAGACATTTCATGTTCCCCTTTTCTGTTCCTCTCAGTGCCAGAACCACAAAGCAAAAAAAAAAAAAAAAAAAAAGAATATGAAAACAGAAAAACCTTGCTTTTGGAAAATGGCACTGAATGTTTACGAGTTTGCAGCAGAGCTGGCCACGGCAAAATACACCGGTTATCAGCACAAAGACTGCAAGTAGAACATTCATGGAGGACGAGGATTCTCCAGAGGAAACGCAGCCCTCCCTTCCCCTTCCAGCAAAATTTACACGATGCCTCATACCTATTAATAAAAATCTATTACAAAGATTTTATTTTAGGCAGTAGTAAGGAACTAAGAGTCTTTCACATGTTATGAGCACTAGATTCCTGTGCAAAAAACCATTTAGATTTAACTCTATATTCAGGAGATGATCGAACTGAAGTTTTTTGGATGGTAAGAAACAAAAGAAAAGGAAGGCTATTCTTCCTGATTACTGTTACACTATATATATACAAATATAAGCATACCAGCCCTAGAAGCATTTTGCTCTCTGTCCAGGGTCAATAAATCCAAACAAGCTGAGTCTTCAGATCTCTGCGCTACCTTAGTTGAATCTATGTCACCATTTATGGTAGCAAGAGTCTTTACTGTGACCCTTTCCTGAAGGGGAAGACAAGAGTGGGAAATGCAAGCCTTTAAAATTCTTCTGTATCACACACAGGGAAGAATCCTTGTCATACAAGTAGTTCTTAAGAAGAAAAGGGGAAGGAGGGAAACATGAAGGACTCAAATGAAACACGGGACAGTGCTAAAGGAGCGTGTAAGCATTTTTGTTTTCTCAAATCAGTAACTCTCTCTCAGACTTGGTCTTGCAGAGTCAGAAACCAGCAAGAATGTAAAGAGCAGAAGGGAAAGCATACCTAGGGACCTCTCTAACATCTCTTTTCACTAGAGTAGAGACTTCTTAGGGGGTCCAAGGCTCAAAGCAAAACCACACTAAAAGCTACACAGCTCCGATGAGCAAATACAATGGCAGAGACTCTTGCAGTTTCTGTCAATGCTACATATCCCTCGATACAGCCTGTTTTGAGGTAATACAAGCAACTGAGGACTTTGGAAACCAACTTTCAGAAGAAAAGCAATACAAAAACCCAGCAAAAAAAAAAAAAAAAAAATCAATGTCATCAGAAAACAGCAGATACCTGAACGCTAGAAGAAAGAGATGATTTGAGATGATACAATTTCTTATAACAAGAAACTCACTCTGCTCCAATCTCAACTAAGTGCTTGAGAACAAAATGAAAAAACAAGACATATTGTCTGCATTAGTATACACAGCACCTGATAGAAATGGGAATTTTGTACATATCGTACAGCTACTGCTGAAGCGCAAAGTTCCCCACCTTGGTGCATCTCTACTTTGGCAACACTACAACAAATACCATACCACGTATGTATTAATAAAGCTTAAAAAAACTGTACATTAATTACACATGCCACAGATTTATAAAGCAGAGGCAGCGCTATCAAAGAGGCAAAATTTGGCCAGAAAGCCTGTCCTACAGAAAGACACGGAAAGCAAACGGCTAATGTAACTCCCATGAATCACTACCACCTTCCTGAACTGAAACTGCTATATAGGAAGTTACACATACACACGTCCCCCAACCAAAACAAAACAAAAAAAAGCCAAAAGCCCACCCAAACAAACTTTGATCTAATTTTTTTCTCCACTAAAAACATGTTTTGACAACCATTAGAAAAGAAAAGTAAAGTAGAAATATTTATATTTCATGTCAGTTACATTTTAGATCTCCTTTTAGTTCTTATTACCTGTATTAGACCAAGCCAGAAGGAAGTCAAATTCTAAAGGTTTCTTTTCTTTCAAGGCCCAAAGCACCCTTTTATGTTTCTTACTATCAGGATGAAAGCTGGAATCCGTCAAATCAATAGTTATAACTGCAAAATAAATAAAAGCAAGTTTTACTCAATGGAACTCAATTTTAATATTAAATACCATAAGAATTAAATGAACATAAAGAAACCAGAGAGAATTAAAAGTGACTTTTGACACGTGCAGCATTTTTACCAAGCATTTAATTAAGCAGATACTACTCCTCAATTTGCAAATGAACATTCTCTTCCTGCCATCCTGATTTTAATACATTTTGTAAACTGCTTTCTAGCCACTGCAGAGAGATTCCTTTTGTAAAGGCAGTGACAGAAGTCCCAGAAGAGTGGCTTTAAAAATAACTTAGTAATCAAGTAAGCTACTAGCACTAGAAAAGCTAAAACTTCTAACACCAAAAGCCATGTGTACGGCTACAACACTTTTTCCAACAGTTTCTCCATATCAGTTGGTCCCAATCTAATTTAAGCTGCATTTATTTTCAATATGGAAATCGCATCATATATTTTATTTGACAAAGTGAATGGCAAAATGATATGCTGTTATGCCAAAATTATTTTTGAACCTAACAGGTTTCCTCTTCAAAAGATAATCGACAATTACTTCTTGAGTAGTACAGGTTCTCATCTGTTTGATAACTTCTTTCCCAGTGCATAGTATAACAAGGCTACCATATCAAATGTCAAACGAAATAGAATTCTCCCTCTCAAAAAAGGAAACTTGGGTGATATTCTTTGCTGATTTTTTGTGGAGTGTGCAAGTTATGAGCTTTGCCTTAATTAGGTTAGTATTTTCTCATTTAAATCGGAAGGCATATATACTGCACCCACTATACACAAATTCTTGTCTCCTGCATCACTCCAGTATAAACAATACTTTTTGAAAAATGGAAAAATTTTTTATAGTGCTACCCCTAAGATCACACACACTTGTTTCCTTACAGCTACTTTATTATTTCAAAAATTCATGTTTCTCATCACACAGTCCTTGTATGTAATACATCTGGAAAAAAATACCACCTAGACAATAATCAATTTTAAGAAAAGTTAAGTTTAAGCATGGCTACTTTGACATCCTAATAAGGTACTTTACAGACAGATCTGAAATAAGTACTGTTAACATAAACCATACTTACTATGTCTCATTACTTTTTTGCCAGAATACTGAGAAGGGCGACCTTGCAGTCCAAGCTCTTCATAAGTATCCTTATCCACTGATAGAATTAGTTTTCCTATAAAGAAAACAAGCCTTAATATAAATAATCGTCAACATAGCTCCCTTTCAAGTCTTCTGAGAACCTTATACTTTATGCAATGTTAGCTTTGGACCACTAGGTATTACCAATGTAAATCCAGAGTCCTTTGGTTCCAGCTAAATGGATTACCAGATTAACCCTTAAAGTGTCAATATTCTTTGTTATCAAACATGTCTTATGAACCACACTAAGAAAAGTGCAATATTATTCCTGAAATACACACAGCTACCATTCTTAATTGTTCTACGTTGTTTCTATTACCCCACTCCTTCCTCTGCTTGTCCTCTAGCATTGGCTGTATCATTTGTTGAACACTGAACTACACCAGGGCCTAATTTTGTAAACATTCAGGCATACACTGCACAACCAAACATTAAACAGTAGTTCCACCAACACCAATGCAACTGCTCACATGAATGAAGATAAGAATTTGCTTATTGTTCTAGAGCATATAAACTGCTTATCACTAACCCCACTTCCAGGTTCATGGACTTTAATCTGATAGCTGCCACTCTGTACAGAACTTCTACACAGCTCTCCACCACAGTCTTTTGAGTCCAGAGTTAATACAAGAAATGGTATACTACATAACAAAAAAACAAATAAGGCTGCTGCTAAAAATGTGAGAAGGTGCCATCACCAGGAATTCTACCATTGTCTCATATTAAGTGTATATATCTTGTAATATTTAAATCATATAAACTCAATCACTACTAAGTTTCCATTCTGCTAGGCTTATGCAAATACAGTACACAAAGGACTTCCTGCTCTGAAGAATCTGAATTTACTGATGCCCTGACTAGCACCTGTTACTAGCGGGCTGTTAAACCAATTTTGATAAAGAAGATATAGCAGAAGCCTCAAAATAGCTCCATTATTTTCTTTGCATGAAAAATCTCACCTGAAAATTAATCAGAGAATCACAGAAAGTTTTGCTGTAAAACTCTGATGGAAATACAATAGAGCATTTTAACAGACTGCATATTTCTCAAACAGTGAACACGGAGCAGTTAACAAGAGTTCCTAAATAGCACTGACATTATTAAAAGATAAGCTTTTTTGATACAAATTCTGCCTTTAAGTTCCGGTAGGCAATAAGTAGTTGGAACGGAGATGGAAAAAAATATTCCTCTGTAGCATTTGCAATGACAGTTGAAGCCGTGACAATCTGACTCTATAAATAACTGATTTTCACTTACTTTTCTATGAAATAAAATAATTTAACTGTGTGAATCAAACAATATGTTAAAACAAAATATTTTAATAATTCAAGCATATTTTAAATAAAGTAGGCAAGCACAGAAGGCGCTATATTTTCCAGTTTACATCATTCCGAATGAAAAAAAGACGAAAATCAATATGTATTATTAAAAAAAAAAACATACCAGTTGGTAGCAGAGCTGCAGTATTATCTTGATCAATTTTTGTGTTATAGGTAAGCGCGTAGCATGAACCTTTAATAGTGAAACAGAAAACCGTGAGATTACACAGTTTCAAGAGAAAGATGACAACATGAGAGGCTCACCTCAAGATAACAAAGCCTGCCAAATACCATTTGAATCATTCTTAATCCTTGTGTTTTAATCAACTAACTTTTGTCCGCCTTCTCAAACAAAGAGGCATTTTAGAATCTTTATAAACCTTATATTGGCACTATTTTAAAGGAGGTGTAACACAGATAACACGAACAATAATGCCCAAACACAAAATACTATTTTCACTTTTGACCCTTCCCACTCTGTAAATGGAAAAAAGTTTTCAGCTATCAGTTCACCTAAAAATGAGGTGAAAGATGCTCACATTACTTGATATATTGTGCAGTAGCATTTGCCACAACTGATTTCCCTTTCTATAAGTCAAGAGTCAGATCCTATAAACCTGGCATACAAATGGCGTACCGCTTCCATAAAACTATTAATGAAACTAAAGAAAACAGGAAACATAGTCCTTCCTTTAGCAAGTAATGTATCTCTTATTTTCCTCTTCCTTCCTCATGTTCTCTTATCTCCTCTCTTTTCCCTTTAAAGCTTTTTTTCTCTCTGGCAGTCATCTGAAGGGAGCAACATTTATCTTGAGCTAAATAAGTGCGGCCTGATAGATGAAGACAGTGTGCTGTGAGTATGCAATAAAAGCAAGTTGGCTGGACAAAGGCTGCATCTTTCCTCACATCCACTTTACTTTTCCTTTTCAAGGATGACCCGCTACAGCTCCACTAGCAACAAAAGCGAGGCTATTTTTACTCTTGCAAGGGAAGCCCAGGCTTTGCCAGATGTGGAACACAGGCTTGTGCTGAATTATGAGAGAATCAGGAGAGAAGGGAGCTTATTTCTGCAGGAATCTACATAAAGATGAGAGGTAGAAGGTAAACGATTGAGAGGATACATGGAAACACTCTTGACAGCTGGCTTGCAGAATTAAGACGCAATAGGGGAAATGAAGAGGTCAGGCTACATGAGGTTAGAGCTGACTTCATGGGAACTAGAGATGCTGTATTTTTCAGTAGGAACTCAATAAATTATAACATTAACGAGAGAGGAAAAAAATTGTGCATCTGAAAGGTGTTTTTGAGGGAATACAGAATATGCATGACAAGGAAATTGCATAAGAAGGATCTCAAGCTAATTCCAAAATTCCCCCCTTCCCCAAAAAAAGAAAAGAGGAGGTAGGGAGGCACTAGGTAGGGGACAGAATAATCACAGAAGGACCCATCAGGTTTAAATAAATGCTGACACACCAGAAAGCAGGAAAAAAAACAGATAAAGAAATGCATACACAATTTCGTTAGTACTTCTTCCATTCCTTTAAAAAACTTCTCAGAATAAATAATTACTGCATTTTACTGTGTTATGATAAATACAGTAATATTGTATATTCTTCATATTTTGATTACTTCCTTACCTTTCTTCACAAAAGTATCAATGAATTCATGAGTGACCAATTCATGAAGCAATAAATTCCTCACCAGATAGTACTCTCCAACATCTGCAATCGTACTTTTCAGCATTTCAGGTAGTATGCCACATTCGGGGATCAAAAAAGACACCTATTAGGAACACATTTGTAATGTAAGTAATGTCCAAAAATTGTTCTAGAGGAAAACAGAGACATATAAAAGAAAATCTCTTTTTGAAGAGAACAGTATGTTACATCAAAATGAGATAAGGAAAAAAAATTAAGTTATTATCTTCAAAATTTAACAATCTGCACAAAGTCTCCATATGTACAGCAATAAATTATTTGGATTTTGCATTTTACATGCTATACAATAGCATTTGATGTGTTACACAATGAGATAATTTTACACGGCATGACTTGACAGAAGATCTTGTTTCAAGTCATGATGAAGTTAGCTTGGAATATTTCCTTCAGCCCTTGTTGCATGACGCAGTTATAATTAGGAATGTATGCTAGGCATTTATGTAATCTCCATTAAAAAGTTAGAATCAATGTGGAATTTAAACTTCTTTTTGAATAAATACATTCTACTCTGAAATACTTCAGAAGTCAGCAGATTGAAGACATCACCAGACAAAAACCTGAAGATGGTCTTATGATTGCCAAAATAGTCATAAAAATTGTAAAGTCTTTTTCCTTTTTTAAAAGGAAAGGCTAAGATTAAGGCTTAGTTAAGGCTAAGATTTCAGTAATAGGTTGCTAATTTAAACTAGGAAACTAATTCTCAAAAGGGATGAACATCTAGCTGTTCTTACTAAATTCAGCACTCAGTCTTTCAGTCCAATTGCCTACCATTCATTTCCATTTACTGTGTTTAAAGCCTTTGCTGTAAGTGTTTCACTGATCAAGAGGTTTTCTAAGTCCATGGCAAACAAACTTACTACCTGGGCAGGTACCAAGCATCCCAAAAAGCATGCACTAGCAGGAGAGCCCCCGCCCTCATCCCCTAGGAACACTTATCTAGAAAAAAGTTTTTCCAAAACAAAACGGCTCACAGAAAATGGGTACGCATCTCCTTTGGCACACACATACATACAAGAGGAGTAACAACTGACAGATTAGCCACTTACCACCGAATTAGCAACCTTCTTAGTTAGCTACTCAAAAAATTGCTGAGGCAAGGACACAGATGGGATCTGACTGAAACTTGCAGCAGTCTAAGGCAACAGTAAGCAGGCAAACATTGGACACTGCAGCGTTACGTTGTTAAAATGAGGAAGCAGCTGTTGATAACGACACTACACAATACGTTGGGAGAAGCGCATAAAACACGGGAGAAAGGATTTTCAAGGTCCTTTACCTGAAGCCACGCTTCAGCTGAAACACGACAGCCCTCACTGCTTTGACGAGACACGCTCGTGGGTACAGCCACCCACGTTACTTTCTCGGCGGCACTCACCCCACACAACTTTTGTCACCTCTTCCACCACTTCACCCTCGCACTTCTGACCAACCAACCAACCCCAACCACGAGCACTTCGCTCGGGCTAAGGCTTGTTTTGGCTTCACTGCGGGAGAGGGACTGTTTCGGGAAGAGGGCCCTCCAGCAGCTCAGCCTTTTGACCACAGGAAAACTACGTGGGTTAGCAGCCCCGCGTGGGCTGGCCGCGCTCTGTTCAAGGCCCATAGTAAAAGGGGGCTACCGGGCACCATGCGCCAGCGCGGCCATCTCACCCGCGGGCTCCTCCCCGCGCCCCAGAGCCACTAACGGCCGCCGGACACGCTCCCGCGACGG